GCACATACTATGTTTGGATCTTTAACATTTACATGACCATGCCGTGATTTATTGGCGCTATGATAATTCTTTAGGGATGCAAGGTATGCTCTAACATGTAAAAGATGGAGACACTTATGCTGACATCTTAGCTTTTCTGATTGTTTGGAGAATTAGAAATAAATGCATATTTTACAATCATGTATGTGCACACAAACAACAAACATCATCATCATAACATTTTTTACATATAAATAGATGCATCAATAGATAAAATGTGAGCTGGTTTAACTGAATAATGCAAAGGCTTCTTAGTAGTTGTAGTAGTACATGTTAAAATGCAATAAACAGGTAAGATTTTAGTGATACAGAATTCAAAATGGTATAAATACAGTAAAATAAACATTCAAATGACATTCAAAAGCTAAAGATATTACATACAGCACAATATCTTAGATCATATACAAATAATAGCTGAATTAATTTGTACTGTATGCTTTTGTATTACTTTGTTTATTTTGCACATATCACATTTACATATATATTTAAAGAAAATGTAATCAAATATATATGACTTGTACATTGTGCAAACAGCTGTCCCAACTTCTTCATGAAGCATACTGAATAAACTGTAAATGAGCTCCTTTTTTGCAAAAATTGAGGGAGAAATCTGGGAACGCTCAAAGATAAAAAAAAAAAAGAGAGAAATATAAGCGCGTTTTGCGTAATTACATTCTGGCTCATATGACCAGCCTGTGGTGACTGTCTTCCCTCTGTGCTGTGGGCAAAGCAGTGCATTGTTTGTGACGAGCATGAATGCTGACCTTTGGCCTCTCCGGTGGCCTCTGCAACTCCCCTGAAAGTTCACAGGAGGGTCAGTGAGTCCTTGTGCCTCCATAGACACTGTGTTGATGGAAACTCCAACCCCCCTCTCATCCAACCCCCTCGGTAAGTCTGTCTGTCTGTCTCAGTCAGACTCAGAAACACACGCAAACCAAACAAACAAAACCTGGTCACGATGTGAGCATGAGGTTCAGAAAATATTTCAGGTCTGACAGTGTTTGAGAGCACAAAATATTGGGTTAACATATGAAAAACACACACTGAGCATGAACTCCAACAGCTAATATTAATTAAAAGATATTATCAGATTAAATGATTTATATTACATATTGTCGAATGAATAAAATCTGAATTAATCTACATACATTTTTAAAAATGAGGGCCATTGTGTTTTTATACAGTGATCAATGATGTCTGCTTATAGTGAGTGTCATGGTGTGGCTTTCAAGACCTCAGCTGCTGGGGCCGATTCATGCATTTTCCTATGCTCTGTGGCTTCAGGCACAACCACTGGCAAATGGGGTTGATGCTCATCACATGAGATATCACATGCTGCTAGGCAGAACATCTACCATGTCCTGTACATGAGATATGCGGCTGTAACATGGAGATCATTTTCGTTCAGGGGAAGCCATTAATACTGAAGATCTCACAGTCCCACTGATTTCACTATGTAAATTATTTTGTGTGAGCCCAGAGCATGGCAGAGTGCTCTGGGTTTTGCTGTGATAGGTTGTTTAGGGATCAGATTAGGCTCCATGTCATTTCATGCTAGAGATGATAATAATGGCCGCCACTGCCGAGATGACTGTTGACATCATTACTCATGTGTTCTGCCACACGCATCAATCTTCACATGCTGTACAGACGCTCCTGAGGTGAATGAATTTTTCACTTTGGAGTTCAGAGCGGGGTCACACAGGCACATACCCTCACATATGAGAGGAGCACAGCAGGTAAAACCAAAAGACTTACACAACTCATTTTTCTTTCCTTCTATTTTTTCTCTCTCCATGGTATCAGATTACTTTGTTTAACTCTTCTTCTCAGCAGACTTATATCTTACTGTACATGATCTGGAGGGATGCTTTGTGATCCAGATACAGATGTATGTTGCTATCATGTTGCAATGGCATGCTGGGCAGCAGATGTAGCATGTTTTAATGTAATATGCATAAAAATTGTCAGCTGGTTTGAAATTTTGGTACCGTTCAACACAACATTTTATACAAAGCCCTTCATGATTGCACGAGTGCATCCTTTATAAGATCATAGATACATTTCTTTAGCCATGGGTGGTACAGTGGTAATACAATCTGTAGCCCTGCAGTGTTAATGCCATGCTCTACCCACTGGGCTTTACAGGATAAGCAGAGCTAATCCCCACTGAAAGATCAGGCCTCCATATAGCTGCAGATCAGTTTGTAAGATCTTTATTTTTGCCTCTGTGGGATCTCTGAAATCTAGGAGGACAATTACAGATGTAGATGTGATGGTGTATCATGTTTTAACCGAGGTGTTCTCCGCTGACAGGTGGAGTGAAGGTGTAAGAAAGGCAGGATTTACCCTCCTAAACTGTGTGCTGTCATCTTTACAAAGTATGTTCAGGCGGTGTGAAAGGGATCATTAGTTGTGTGGCAGCGGAAGCAGCCGTGTTGTCAGCTACCTGCTATTTACTTCCCCTCATTACTGTACGCTGGCTGGCGCTGGTGGGAGTGTCAACATCATTAACATGACTGTCATTAGTCCTGTCCCACACTGCATGGAGAAGTTAGTCCTGGGGAGAAAAATGAAGCATCTTTCACCACCAACCTCTCTGCTGCTGCAGCTACTGCGCCTCTGTTCAGTTGGACTTGATGGCAAATAGGCTGCCTGAGAAGAAGAAACAGGAGCTCTGCGTGGTGAATTGAAATAACTCCTTGTGAGATGCATCTGACATATTTACAATTTAGAATGACATAAAAACGTAGAATATTACAGTACAATAGAGCTTAACTGGAGAGAAGCATCAGCTGAAATCACAGCACCAATAATTTCTGCATATTCCCAGTTGCTGCATATGTGTAACAGTGCAAAACAAAAAAAACAAGTCCTCCAGAATAAAAGTAAATGTTCCTGGTCTAGATGAAACCGTTTATGAGACCATTAACTCATTCCCAAACTATTGATACACAAACTAATATGATAAAACCACTGTTATGTTGCATCACTAACTTTATCAAAATACACTCTGGATTGCACCTCTATTGTTGTATTTACCCCCAGCGTCTCACTTTTGAATTGGCACCTACAGCAGGATTAAAACAAACAAGCTCCCTCACACCTTGTCATCTGCCTGACTTGGCTGGATGTTATTGTAGCCAACTTCAAGGCCTCAGCAGCAGCTGCAATCACTTATGGCAGTCTGCCTCAGTGCGCAGCCCCTCCGTGCCCCCAACTAGTTTCCCATCAGCCTTGAGGGGGTAGATCTCCTCGCACTCAGTTTCAACCCTCCTGCTCTCTGTCTTGCCTCGCTGAGACCTCCTCGACCTCTGCAGAGGTGACTGGAGAAGTAGAGCAACCGAGAGCATAGCAGTGCAGAACATGTCCCTGTGCAAACTGATTGTGAGTGGATCCACATACTATGTTTCCACATGCCTTTTGTATTGGGCTCGAGTTCACAGTGGGCTGGACTTTCAGAGGCACAGTGTCGTCCAATGGCAGTGCCGGGATTGCTGTGTGGCTTGTCTGATTTACGGTACATCATTAAGTCAGCGCATTCCTTCTCCCTGTGGCCCAGGTGGCTGTGGGGCCTGAGGCCCAGACTCACAGGAGCAGAGCGGGGCTCTCTGTGAAGCACAGCACAGCCAAGGGGAGCAGCTGCAGACCAGTGGATCCAGCTCCATACCATAGCCATGGAACATCCCTCCATGACAGGAAGCACTTAATACAATACATCTCAGCACCTTCTGTGTCTATGAAGGATATATGTTGTCTTATTTATAGGTCCACAATCCTGTTTTCATTCAACTTCAATTTTTCTAAGACTGCAACAAAGATTAAGAACTAAAAAGCAAGAGGGTGCACTGACCTTTGACCTATGCAACAGCAGGATGGGTCACAAACAGGCAGTCATATATCATTTTAGATGAAAAGAGATTATTCCTCCCCAAAAATGAACCATCAGGCTATGTAAAGGTCTCATTGAGGAAAATGCATTGGCTTGTTGCTGTAACAAACATTCATTTTCTTGAGGATTAATGTGTTATATATTACATGTTGTAATTAGTAATTTACACCCCAGTGAATGAACGATCTGCCAAACATAGTCCTTTTTTTCATTGCCAATATCTGAGCATTCAAAAACAACTGAGGGAGGCTTGAGTCTTGAGAGATTTTTGGAGCTGCTTTGCCCTCTAGTGGTAACTGACTGTGTCAGAGTCCACACAGACATGAACCCCCACCTCCCCTAACACTCCGCTAGGCAGCCAGTGCATGAACCACAGATTACAGTTTACCATGTAATAAGAGGACTTGTCAATCTGCACAGGATTTCACATCAACAGCTTTGTAATTTTTTGCAGACTGACAGTAAAAGAAATTAGCTGTTAGAGATTTCAGCACTTTATGAAACTTTACAAGCAGACTTTAATATTTACAAGGCTACTAAAAACCCTGGCAGGCCTTTCAGCTTTGACCTGCACATTAGTGACATACTGTGGTTTATGTTGGGGAAAGAGGCAGCTTACAGAAACTGGCCGTACAGCTCTTTGATTTATCAGTTTTATGGTTTGTTATATAACTTGAATATACATGTGTAAGTGAAGAAGAAACTTCACAGCAGACTTGACTCCATGGTGTCTGACATCAGCTAAATCAAAATCAAACAACCCCTATTTTGTGGTGTAATGTTTTTATACGGCGATCATTTTGTTTCTGTGTGTGTGACAAAGAGAGACAGGGAGAGAGATATTTTATTTACTATCAAAGATGAGTTCATTCAAGAAGGTAAAACCTTGTGGTCGTTCCAGCTCTTGGCAGCACCACTGGGAAATAGAAACAGTGTGGTGATGAGGTACTTCCTGCATGCTGTTCCTTCTTGTGTGTATGTATGTGTGTGTGTGTGTGTGTGTGTGTGTGTGTGTGTGTGTGTGTGTGTGTGTGTGTGTGTGTGTGTGTGTGTGTGTGTGTGTCGTGGCACCCTGCAGAAATTGGCGTTGGTGTTGGTGAAAAGCTCCTCAGCCCCCTCACTGACAGTGGTAACGCGAGACAGACAGTGTGCCATTTGCTGTGTGTCTGACTCAGATGTCTTGACCTGGCCAACTGGACCGGCCTGGCTTCCAGCTCTGGCTTATCTCTCTGGCACAGCATTGGTCACTTCACACCCAGCCGCTTGATCAGCCACATTTGTATGGGATCGCTGAGACAGAAGCAGGTCAGTGTGCAGCATTTTGTGATGATATGGGTGTTAAAGTGGAACATAAATTTTAAGTGGCTTCTGATCTTCATTTCCTATCAGTAGCTTTAAAGCCAATTTCTGCAAAAAGCTAACTCATGTATACAAATATCCTTGCTTTTCATTTGTGTATGTTTATATTCATATATTTTAACACACATACACTTGTTGCTGACTTGTTATGTGTATGTGATGTACAACTGTGAGTCCTGTATGTCTAGTTTGTTTAGTGCTGTTCTGTCACTGTGTGTATGTTTTTATTGTGACCTGCCAAGAGCCTTGCTTTAAGCTAACTCTGGTTCAATATATCCAATAGTAATATTTATGTTTAATACTGTACACAGTCCCTTACAAATCTTTACAACAAATACATATGGTAATATATACACATTCATTTGTTTTTGCAGCACTACACTGAATAGTTCATGAATAAACTCAAAATGGTTGATTACCAACATATATAATATAACATTAATCCTTAAATGCATACAGACTTCTTACTTATTTAATAAAGATTAAACTATACATTAATAAACCCCTCCAAAATAATGTTTATGCCATTTACTTAATTTTCTTTTATAGATGCCAAAATGACTGAAATGATGGCTGTCATATACCAAACAAAAGATGAAGACCTTTGTTTAAGTTTTTCACAGTAAGTTATTAAGAAAATTGAGATTTGATGCAAGCAACTGATCATGAGGATTATATTACCAGTGATCAGTTAGATATTTCAGAAGTAATATAGGAGAGTATTAGTGTGACAATGCTTGCTCAGAGGTCATAGTTCAGAGGCTCATCAGTGACTCAAAATGAGGTTAAACAAGAAAATCTGCTAAATACATACATTGAAAAAATACGATTCAATTCATTCAATTGAACTGAATAAAATGAATGAATTATGAATTATACAGGGCGTAATAAGAGCCCACATCTCTGATAACCCAAGATATGTGTGTCTTTTATATATGGACACATGATAACGCTCAAACCACTTCACAAGTCTGCGCAAAACAGCCATTAAAACTTCCAGCAAGACAAATACCTTGAAATACAGGTAACACCTACACACAAAGCCCAATCCTGTTTGCTGACACAGTAAGCCTACACCCGTCACACAAAATAAATGTTCTGCCCAATAGGAAAGCAATTTTGCAATGCATCACTTTAAGTGAGTGGACCTCTGTGCCACAACCAGTGTCTCTTAACCTTTCCTTAATTTGTCTTGTCTTGTTATGAGCTCTCAGGAACAACTATGTCCTTTCACTACCAACTTGTGAGTGCTTCGCCTGCACAGAACTGGACCACATCAGGGCTCTGTTCAATGTGAGAGTGAAAATGAGTGAGTCGAAGGCATTGGTGAAGTATATGGCTCCCTGCTAGAGTTGATGCAGCTGTTTCCTCTTTCATTTGGTCTTTGAAGACACTCAGAAATACTGCATCACAACATGAATCCGACTTTCTGGCCTGTGTGCTGCTTCCTGTTGTCAGAGCTCCATCATTAGTGTGTTCAAATGAGAGGTTAATACAGACTAAGTTACTGCAACTTTCCCTGCACCGCTTGATTTACTGCCACCACCTTTCTACAGCACACAAACATCAAACACTTCATTTCAACAGAGAGCTGATAAGGAAATGTTATCTCAGTGTGAAGGAGGCAGTGACCTCCCCCCGGGCTTATAAGAGGTTGAGTGAAAATATTTGCAGCATTATCCAGTATTACAATCCTCTGGGAGCCAAGCATAACAATTAATAGCCCGTTTACTACAGCTACAGTGTGTGGGATGAAAATACGCACGTGGAGAGCACTGTGTGGTTTTAGTGTAACCAGTGGTGAGAGCAGAATGATTTGGTTTCATCTCGGTATTATAAAAAGAGGTGTTCTCTCTCCGGAGTGCAGCTTTTCCACTTGTCCAGGACATCATCACTCTTGTTCAACAACCTGACACATATTTTGGGAGGATTGTCGCCACAAGAAGGAAGTTGTAAACCAGAGAGGCTCCCAGTGCAGGAAGCCTCCTTTCATTGTGGATAAAGTCACCTTGAAAACATGGTGGTCCTCAGTAGACCCTACACAGAGCTCACACTAAGACTGGAAACAATACCTAGCAGGATACTCTGTAGGCAAGAAAATAACATGTAATTGATTGTTAATAATGGTATAAAGTGATCTCAAAATATCCCAATATATCTAGTCTGGAACGGTTTCAAGCAACATGTTTTAGATTGGCATGTTTAATTTTTAGGACTTGTTTATGTCGTGTTTATTCCCTCTCATTCCCTGGACACTTTGGTAACTCCAACCCTTCATTAAGCCTTATTACACACACCACTCAGTCCACATCTGGCTTGGGGCTCCCAGAATGGCTCATTTGCCGTGCTTTTTATTGCAGTCATATAGTTGGAGTTGTAAATGACTGTGTGGCTGTGTATTGTTTTCTGTTGTGGGGAGCACACAGTATTCTCACCAGCGAGGTGGAGTGTTAATGTGCACGAGTCACGGTTGCACGTGCAATCCTCTCAACAAGGTTTTTGGGTAGCAATGCTTTTTAAACCAACCAGCAGTGTCATTTTTGAATTATAGCTTTATTAGAAAAAAAATGCCATTTGCAGCCACAGTATTTAGACTTTAGTGGAAGTGGGTTGTTCAATTTAGCCCCTGGCCTGTGATTGGACGAGTGTCAGTTGAGTAAGTGGCACGTAGTGGAGGGATTGGCAGCTCTATAACTCCCTCAGACAGGTTTGTCATCTGTGTCAATGACCCACCAGGGAGCCGGCCCTAATATCAAACCCAATGCTGATGGATGACCACAGTTCCAGCTGTTAAGGCACTGTCACAAACAGGTTCTTCCATAGCCTGTCACTGTGTGTGTGTGTGTGTGTGTGTGTGTGTGTGTGTGTGTGTGTGTGTGTGTGTGTGTGTGTGTGTGTAAAGCTTTGGTCAACCTTGATTTTCTCAGTCTGTGACCACAAAAGCTGTTGATGTCATCATTAACTTACAGGACCAAATCTGTAACAATGATGTTTTTGTCGGGCAGTTTTCTGTGGCTATGAAAAGAACATTCACATCAAATGTGTGTTTTTATAAACATTAATGCTGCATTTTTCAATATTTTTTCATTCTGTCAACAACTTTTTAAGAATTATTCACACAATAACACTTTCATAACAACCAAGGTGGAGAGGATTACTTTAAAATGTGATCTGATACAATTACTGATTACCTGTTAAAAGAAAGTTGTCAGTGATCTAATCAGAGTATTGCAATATTAATGTAAGGCAACTTAATTACTTTCTGTTACTTTTGGATTAACTCAACCCCAAATATCTAAATAAAAGAGAAAAGAAATATCAGTGAGATGACTTTTACTTGAGTGTATTCTATAAGACAACAAAACAATGAAAATGGGGAAACCAACATTTAGTATTAAAAATGTGTCCAGTAACCTATGGATCATTTTCACAGCTGGAAGGCAGAACTTGCATTGCATTATGATGTTGTTCCCCTTTTCTGCTTTAAAGACAAAGTAATGGTGACATTTATTTACTTTAAAATTGTAATCCTGCTAATAATCCCACTTTTTTTGTATCCTGATTACATAACCCCATTACATGTAATCTGTTACTCCCTAAACCTGATAACAACCTCCCATTATTTTCAGGCCTGTTTTCATGCTTTTTTGACAAAACTACAAATCCTAGCATGAGATGTCGTATCAAATCAAATCTGTATTGCTCATTTGCTTTATTTAGCCCATTCTAGATATATCTATGTTTACATTTAGGACTGAACCAGAGCATGTGGCATAAGACTTTTTTATTGTTTTATTCTCAGTCTGGTTTAGTTATGTTCTGTTAGTTAGTGACAAATTTAACCACTATTTAAATCACATTTTATAGTTGGAGTAAGTCATTTTTATTTAATTCCAAAGTCCAAAATCAGTGTATCTGTCTAAATAAATGTCATTGCATGAATACCTCACACAGAGGGATATACGGTTTGAATTAAGGCTGAAGGTGAGAGAGATTAATACTGAAAAACATCATGAAGGTGTTACAAACCACATCTCAAGTGCTTTACGCTGGCACCTCTCCCTACAGTACGCAGTCTCATTGTTTCATTGTTCTGCTTCGCTTCTTTCAGCAAATGTGGTTCATAGTGGCTCAAGTGTAAACTACAGTACATCGCAGGAAGGAAGAGGGACCTGGTGGTGGGGGTTGGGAGCAGGATCCCAGACCATAAAACCTGGCAGCCGCCCTCCTGCATTGTTCACCACCACCATTCCAGCCCAGTTTCACTGTTTTCTCCTTGTGCTCTGTGTATCCTGTCCTTTTAGAGGCAATAAATGTTGTTGTTGTTCATCAGACACACATGAATCCCGACCAGGCTGCTCATGTGCCTTTGTTCTTACCATGAAGACTCTTGTAGGCAGGAAGAAGGTTGTGTGCTAAAGAGCAAATAAATAGCCTTGTTATAAAGTTTCACAAAGGCATCATATGGGTCCAATCAGACACATATCAGGTTGCATGCAGCATGTATTACACTGTATATAGAGCACAATAAATACATAAAGACAATTCTAGCCTTTCAACTGGACGTTAACACAGCCAAATCTCCTCTTATAGCACCACCTTGTGGCTGGACTGAGCTGGTTTCTCTACATCTTAGAAATCACTGACTGCTGCAGTGTCATATATGACCAGAAAAAAACATGTATTTCTCTTTATTGTGCTAATATTAATAATACTAGTAATAGGGTACATTTTAATTGACATAATACTGATGCAAATGTAACTTAATAAAAATAATGGAAAGTGTAATCACATAATGAACTTCCTGCATTTTCTTCTGCAAATTCACAATCACAACCTATTTTTTAAATAATACTGCCACAAACTGTGTCCGTTAAACTGCGTAAAAGCTGTTCACTTCACTTTCACACAAGTGATTTCCCTTCTTGCATGCGTGCCGTGAAACATTCAACATGACCGCAGCAGGAGTGTACAACTTTTGTGGAATGCAGATGCTTCTTTCTCAGTCTATTTATTTGATTTAAGGCTGTCAAAGAAGCCAAGCAGCAGGGCCCAGACAAGAGGCTGGACATGACAATGAAGCTGAAGTCATGCAGAAACTGCTCCCCCTGCTGGCTGGGCACAGAGGCCTCTGAGAACCCTGCAAGACAACTAGAACAGGGAATGTAATCACTGAAAAACTCCATTTAGTTTGTGTGTTTCTATCCTGTAACCATGTTAATATGGTATCACCTAAATGTTATAAGTCAAGTCTGATTTGGGGATAAAAAGGAAGACAGGAAATGAATGTAAAATACTGGACATAAAGCGTTGTCTGTGAAGTGTTTTACTTCAACGTTTCTTCTTTTTTTTTTTGCAATTCTGGGTCAGATGTCAAATTTTTTCTCGAACAAATCAATTATGAGCACAAAAGTGACACATTAACCTTGGTGTGTTCGCATATGAAGTCCTCAGCTTTCCCACAAACACACATGTTTATTCCCAGTTCATCTGATAACCACTACCACCAATCAATCCTTCTGCTCGTCTGTCTCTCTGGTGAGACCAGAACTGTAAACTCTGGGCAGAAAACGCCTCTGTGATCCCAGCTGCAAATAGAAAGCTGGAGACACAGGAACATTTTTTTTAAACCACTGTACAGCCCACACTAAATGCAGCCTTTCTCTGAGATCAGAAGGACTGATGAAGCCTGTCATAATCATTTCTATGCTACATTAACAGAGGCGACACTGTAGTTTGCCTTGGCGCTGGCAAGTGTTGCTGCAAGGCCTCAAGCATTTATAAACTCCAACCTCCACTCCCGCTGAAATGAAGGGTCGATGTCTGACTGAGTTTAAGAAGTTTCACATCAGGAGCACTTGGAGGCACTTTTTAACTCCCTCTGTGTTTTTGTTCTGTAGAAAAAGCAAACATTCATACAGTGCTGTAATGTGAGTCCATTTATATTTTTCCTGTCAAATTCAGTGTTTATGCAAAAATTATAAATGCTTGCAAGCCTATCAAACTCTGCGGATATCTATGTTTCGTATCCAAGATGTTTTGTTATTTGGGATAACTACATTTTGTAGATCAAATCAGAGAGCTCCTGGGAAACACCCCACAGTTTCCAGGCACAGGTCTGTATTTTCAAAATCAATTTCTGTCTCACAGTTGGTTGCAGTGCGACTGAAGTCATCAGGGTCATACACCTCCCTCCATAGTCGTTTGCCAGCCGCTTGCAGCTGAAAAATTGAGCTTTCTGGACTAGAGGGGTATATGAACAGAGATAGCTTGACACAACCATTTGTTTGGCTCAGGTGAATACAGCCAGACAGCAACACAGTCCCTGCTCTGCAGCAGGGCTTGCACTATGGCCAGATCCTACTGGACACTCATTCCTCAAAGATGCTCCGGAAGCTCAGCTCAGATACACTGTTACTGTACTGTACTATGTGTAATAAGACACAGCTGGTATTTTCCATTCACTGTATAGATTTTTACATTAATTGTTTGTTGAGTGTTTGGTAAGGAGGGAGGGTAAATTTAAAGAGCTTTTCATGCACTGGAATCAAAAGTATACTGTACATACAGCAACTGACTGTTTCAGTGACACAGGAGATTAAGGTATTATATTATATTTCCCACATCCACTAATACAAATATGTAAATTAATATTGACTCAATAAATAAGGTTTGTTGGGTCTTTATGTGGTACTGAGAAAGTAAGAAGTCTTCAGATTCATAACACGACGTAAAAATACTCACAAGTGGAGTGCAGCTCATTATGAAGCCGGATGGTCCCTATCATTGTTATATTATCACTTATAGTATTAATGAATTATTTGCATGAACATGTAAGAAACATTTTAATGTTGCAGTTGGGTGAGGTGGAGCTATATTTATATATTATTGGGCAGTTTAATCTCTAACAATGCTTCATAAATTGGTCATTTTGTTTTGTTTCTTAATCTTAATCTGCAAATTAAATACTGTGGTGGAGTAAAAAATACAATATTTATCTCTGAAATGTGAAAAAGTAGCTTCAGATGGAAAGTACCTCACAATTCTCTTTAAGTACAGTACTCGAGTAAATGCACTTAAATCTGTCAATCTGCAACCCATAGAACGCGGTGCTGCACGTAAACACACAGAGTGAGTCTTCAGTGACACTTGCCTCAATAGCATCTCTTACTGCACTCTTACTCACACAGGCTTCTTTGTGTTTTTTTAAAAGCCTTGTCCATCTTTATTATTCAACTGACCTCAGTATAAAAGGTTCTCCTGTTACAGTAAAAAATAATTTCAGGGACAAAAACATCATGGTAATAATTATAATCAGTTGTAAATAATAACACTAAAGTCGGACTCTGTTGACAGTAATGTTTATCGACTGTGCCCTGCGCCTTCATATGAAGAGTTTTGCTGTAACTCTTGTGTCCACTGTCACACCTTCACAGGCTGCTGTAATATTCATGGATGCATACGGATACGAACAGAAACAGCCCGGCACCTTGAGTGTAATGAATTTGAATCTGTGGCTGATTCAGTATTAGTCTGGGTTACTGCTCAGCCCTGCAGGAAATGAATTGCCCTTTATTTAACATTACAAATTACAGGTGACCCACAGTGAGGAGAGCTGTGAGTTTGAAAGGTGCGACAAATAGATTTAGAGGGGCAATGATTCCCTCCTAGATTCCTGTTGTGCAAATGCAAGAGATTAAATGACAGAGGATATTAGGAAATAATTTGTGAATCCCACTGTGATAAACGTAATGTGGTTAGCAGGCAATGAATATGTCTGTTTTCGTCACAATTAAATCAAATTACGTATTAGATTACATTACATTGATTTGTTGTATTGCAAATTGTCATGTTGACGGTGCTAGCAGAAGGCAAATGAGGATATAAGGTTAGCATTGCTGCGGGGGTGGATTTGTTGGTAGGTTACAATGTGCTGGTGTAAGTGCTTCAGGTCTGAACTCCTTCATTAGACATCCTGGACCCCGTGGTAAGGATTAAATCCTCACTTTTCAGTCAGTATAGTTATAGTTAGCTAAAATACTCTACAGTGAAATCCTGCATTCAACATGGTGGCTGAGTCATGCAGTGTCCACTTTTAACTTTGTTCTCTGAGAGATCATTCAGCCAGAGTTAACCACATCAGTCGCATGTTAAGATCATATTACCTCAGAGATAAATCCATCAGTCCCCTGGCGGACATATCGAGGCGAATGTGTTCAAACCACGCTTTACACCATTTTGGGCTCCCTCTCCAGCCAGTGACTTGGCCTGTTGAGTAATGAAGTGTTGGAGTTCAGTAATGAGACTGTTTACAGGGCGTGCTTGTTTCACATGAATCAAGCCCAGTGTGTGGTTAGATAAATACCAGCTTGGCCCTGCACGAAGCCAGTCAAACCTTCTCCTCTGCTCAGGAAATGGCAGCCAAATTCCTGTGGAATGAATGAAGAGGAAATCTGCGAGTGGCAGCCCTACCATGAGATCGCTCTGAAAGGGAGAGGGTGGAAAAGCCGTGGCCCTTCCTCTGGTGTGGACTTGGGCCAGGGCTCACTAGGTGAGACTGATGGAATAATAATACACATCCTGAGTGTTCTTTTCATTAGCAGCACGGTTTCATGTTTTTCATCATCCTGCTGAGAGAAATGGAGAGACCCTTATTTCTGAGCTGGACAAATTACCCTTTCCCCTCTGGGAGATGCAGCTGCATTCAATATTGTGTATGTGTGTGTGTGTGTGTGTGTTTCTGTGTCAGTGTGTTTTAGGTGGGGGTCGCGGCTGGATGCAGGGATTTCCTGTGGAAATAATAATTAACCACAACATGCACACAGGGCCGGCGATAAACGCTTGGCCCTCTCACTAAATATTGTCTTTTACAAGCAACCAGGTAACTGGATTCATCTAATTTCCTACATGAGATTTAGATGTGAAGCAAACTTCCATTAGGATATAAGGAGTATTAGTTTTAAAGCCATGACCTCAATCTGTGAGTTGTGTAAACCTATCAGTCCAGGCCGTTTGAACTGAAGTGACAGCATGGCTGTCCGTATTTAGAACACATTATTGGTGATTCATATTAGCCCTTAACCAAAGCAATCCCTCCATTAACTCCACCTGCAAACACCTCATATCCCAGGTGACCTATTTTCCCAATTACCAATGCCATTACTCTGCACTTCCCTTCCACATCAGCCATCACCAGACATCCAGATTTCATAGAAACTCCTCTGACTGCTGCATTAGTGTACATTTTTCTGCACTCTTATTACAGAGCACAGAGACGAAGAGTTACAGCGCCTCTCAAATGAAACAGGCTTGAGTGATAAATCTCTTGCACTAATGCACACACGTAAGAGTTTTTGACTGTAAATAAAGTCATGAGAGACATGCTGTACTTACATGGGGAAAGCCTTGAGGAAATGGCTTCCCCCTTAAAAGAACATATGGGTGTGTATGTCAGCAGCCAATCAGGGTGCAAGTAAAACATTTTTTTCCCTTGGATCCCCTCACTAAAGGCCTTTTTTAAAACTATTGTGTGTGGGGTAATGTAACCCAATATTTCGCAAATGATGATCTAACCATACTTATTACTCGTATTGATAGAAATAAACACCTGCTTCACTTGTTGTTTACTTCAACTTCACCCTTAAAAGCCTTTCAACAATGAAAGAGGCAGAGCAAGCAGCTGTGTGAATATTTGTCAGATAACTGGGATGACAGTTCATT